GCATTTACCATTGGGGTCTATGGAAGTTTATTTACTGGTCTGCTACCTGTAGTTTCAAAATGGCGCCTTCCATCGTTTGTTGTCAAATGTTTGCGGAGTGTTTTTTTTTCAGGGGGGCGGAACCTGGGGGGGGGGGCAGCGTTTCAAAAGGGGTCACCAATGGCGGTTCCGCAACAAATGCGCCCAAAATCTGAATAGGGCCGATGGACCGTCGTCCGATCACAGCAATTTCGAGCGAACAAGGGGGGGGGGGGTAATTGGGGTCGGAAGGGGCAAAAACTCAATTAACGCCCGTTGGGGGCGCCCTACAGTAAGGTAGCCGCAAACAGAGGGCTTGTTTTCAGGCCAGAAATCGCAGTCAGAGATTTTTTTTCTTGCAATTTTTTGATGAAATATGAGTCATCCATCCTTCCTCGTGCCGTACAAGTGGTTTGGGGAAATTTTTCAAAACCTCGCTTCTCTATAGGGTGCAGACCAGTAAATCGGTCCGAAATTGCCTGCGCCGGCCAAATCACGATTTGCATGCCCTCAAAATCTTCGGTATTTGGGCATGCTTTGGGCCATGAACTTGAGGGTTTGTAAAAAATATGGGTGGAAGCCGTGCACAGGACTGGGAGCTTGCAGTTCTGTGTAATTTTGATGTAATCTGGACCCTAAGAGCGCTCTATTTTGCAATGGAGTGTAGGCATCGTTTTTCAAAATGGCGCTGGGCTTCAGGACTATTTTCAGGGGGATCATCTTCAGATGGAAATTTCTCCTAAAAGTCATCAGTTGACCCCCCGAAAATTGAAAAGAAAATGAAAGATGATGAAATAAGCTTTAATTTGATGTGCGTCTCGAACACCTTGGAGAGTTGTGAGTATTTTTCCCGAATTTTTGAAGTGGGAGCATTTACCATTGGGGTCTATGGAAGTATACTGGTCTGCTACCTTATAGGATGCATACCTGCAAATAAACTCCCATAGACACTAGTGCTAAATGCCCATACTTCAAAATTCTTTTAAAAATACTCAAAACTCTCACAGGTATTCAAGCTGAACAGAAAAATGATAATCTACATGTCATCTTTCGTTTTCTTTTCAATTTTTGGTGGGTTGACCATTGACTTTTCGTGATATTTTCACCCAAAGAAGACGACCCCTATTTTCCCCAAAGCGGAAAAGTAGCCATTTTGAAAAACGATCCCTCCACAACATGGCAAAATAGCGCCACTTTCGAGCCCAATAGCATCCAAAATACTCAGAATTGGAAGCCCCAAGTCCGGGCCAGAGGTTCATTACCATATCTCTTCAATTCCCCAATTTTACGGCGCTCAGAACTCTCTAATATAGAATATTTTGAGGGCATAACTTTTATTCATGAGCTTGGCGGATCGATTTACCGGTGTGCACCCTATAATAGCAGGCAACTTTTAAATTTTAACACAAAACCACATTCAGGACAAGCAGAATATCTCCAAAGTCAATTTGTTGAAGAAAAAAAAAATGAAAGAAAAATATTATACGAGGTCGATATTAAGCCCGAAAATAGTGTTTTTATTGCCCCTGCTAAGCTGTAGAGCGCCCCCAGCGACAATAAATTGAGTTTCAGCTACTTTTAAGCTCAAAATGCCCCCCCCCCCTTTTCAACTATAGCAATTGTTGTAATCGGGTGATAGCCTACTGCTCCCTTATGATTTGGAAGCATCCGTTACGGAAAAAAACCTTGTTGATACCTTTAAAACACTTTCCCCCCTCCCGTAGGTTCCGCCCACTGAAAAGACCAATGCCGCGGCACAGCGCATGCGCGAAACGGCCATCTTTGTTATTCTTTATAATAGCAGGCAACTTTTACATTTTAACACAAAACCACATTCAGGACAAGCAGAATATCTCCAAAGTCAATTTTTTGAAAAAAAAAAATGAAAGAAAAATATTTTCCGAGGTCGATGTTTAGCCCGAAAATAGTGATTTTGTTTGCCCCTGCTAAGCTGTAGAGCGCCCCCAGCGACAATGAAGTGTACCCTGTCGGGCATCTGGAAAGGCGTAAACTAAGTGATTTTCGCTACTATTTTAAGATACCGACTTAAAGCAATTCCGACTTGAGTCAAGCCTATCCTGTGCATGGCTTCCACCCTTATTTTACTTATTTTTTTTAAAAACACTCAGGTTCACGGCTCATAGCTTATTATGATCAAATACTGAAAGATTTGAGGGCATGCAAATCGTCATTTTTGGCCGCGCTGGCGTAGGCAATTTCGGACCAATTTTACTGGCCTGCACCCTTTACAGAAATTGAAACTCAATCAGGAATTCATCCAACTTGCCATTACAATCTTCTCCGTTCAAATTCTTTCTGTCACCTCTCAAACGGATCACTCAAATGACTGTGTAGCGACTCTACCTTCTCTGAACCGGCTATTTTCATTGTATAATGTTGCCAGATCGAGGCTGTGCATGCCCAATGGAGGAGCGTGAAACGAGCGAATTTCTTTTAAAAAGCAAAATGATAACTTTAGAGGAACAATCTTGAAAGTTTGCTCCCGGGAAAGGACACAAATCAGTGAAATTAAAAAAAGCAAATTGTTACATGTCTTAACATGTTCCCTTCGTTTTCTTTCGAGGAAAGAAATAACTTTTCCAATATATAATTGACTTTGCATGCTAGACAGCAAAAATAAACTGTTACATGTATGTACATCGAGAAAAGTCACCAGACGAATTAAACAAGGGCGCCCTCCATAATTCAGATACAAAAACACTCAAGTTTTAATCTAAAAAAAGTGCTTGAAAAAAACAACACCTTTGCACTCTATAGAAAAAATCTATTTTTCACATGTTGTTTGTGCAATTACTTGAAGATTATTGAAGCCTGAATTGTTGGTGTTGCAATTTGTTGTATTGAATTCATTGTCATTGTCAGACAATAGGTATCGCTATACGCGTTCCACGAGACGTGAAAATAAACCCCCTATCGCGAAATCAGTGTTTTCGTCAAAAATAAATAACAAATGTGAAAAAAAAACACTTAATGTTAAACCCGCTAATCATAGTTCCGTGATTTTCTCTGATTGCCAAATATCCAGTACAAGCGAAGGTAAGAAGATTAAAGTGGTTGTGGAATGCTCGAAGACATTTCCGTCATTTTTCGGGTATAGGCCTATGTAGCCTAAGGTGTGATGAAATAAAAACGACTTTTGTGACTGTCATGAAAAGGTACAAAAGTTACTTTTGAGAGCGGTTTTTCAGGTCCTGTTTCGACCCGAACGTGCAATTTGTGTAAAAGTTGTCGTTTGGGGCAGCAAACAAAACATAGTAAATCGTGACGTAATAAACAGGACTCCCGATGCAGCGTAGTATAAACGAGTCCTGTTTATTACGTCACGAGTTTTCTCATTTTACGGAGAACCCGACGACTGTTGATTTCAGTTATGCGCTCGCCGACCAACAAATTACTCGATGAATTTCAGTTTTATAAACATATAAACGCACATTACAAAAGAATGGGAGTTTGTCATTATGATATATATGGGTCTACTCTACAATAAAAAAATATAAAAAACAAAACGACTTTCAGCATTCCACAACCTCTTTAATCATGGATGCATGGCGTTATTTAAGGTGGCGTTTGTTCTATCGACCTTAATTATGCGATGAGGCGGAGTCTTTGTATTTATGAGCTGGGCTCAAGCAAACCAATTGTGCATTCATTGTTAAGGAAGGAAAATAACCAAAATAAAAAAAAACGGCGAACAGACGGGAAATCTACACAATTGATTGTTTTCAATGCTTCATTTATTAAGGCTAAACGCAAACTGCAACAGACTGGTTACATAAGGTCGCTGCAATAAAATAAAGAAATTAACAATAATTGAAAAAAAGGGGGGAAATGGCCAAGGAACTGATGAATGAATACCAAAAGCTGATACAAAAAGATACATTGAAGAAAAAGCTAAAAGCAAGACGTCAAAAAAACTATAGAGGTCTTATGTCTGTTTGAAAACAGGACATAGGGCTTTTCCGCTCATTATTTTCGCATGACTTTATTTTTCCATTGTGGACTTGGTTTCTACTAAGCTTGAAGTCAACCCAATGAAAGGAAGTGTTAAATTTTGGAAGCGGAATGAAATTGTAAATATTAGAAAAATAATAAAAAATCAACCGATGACGTCATTGTGAGTCATTTCGGATTCTGCATACTAGTACTATTATCTAACTATCCACCAAGTTTCATGACAATCAGACTTTCCCTTATATGTGTTTTTCAAAAATCGCTTTTTTGATGATTTCATGATGACGTCACACATTTTTCAAATTTTTTTGCATATACCTAGCAAACATAATAAAAACAGAATTTTGAATTTTGCATGTTGAAAGAAAGCAAAAAAATCATAACAAAAATAAAGGGTTTTCCTAGAAAAATACGGAAAACCCAAAAAGTCAGAACAAAAACAACGGCTTTTCCCGCAGCTTTGCGGAAAAGCCAAAAAAGATTAGAAGTATGTGTTGCGTCACCGAATAAAATAGAGCTGAAAACTACATGGAAAACATTGCAATATATGAAATGCGAACATCTACAATTGACAATTCTTAAGAATGACAAAAAAAATTGAGCCTTGAGTCCAGTATTGAGAGAAAGAGGACTTAGAGTAGGAGCAAAGGGTCAATTGGGGTTTTTTTTGGAAATGATAAAGTGCTTGGTGGGTACTTTTGGCAAGGTGATACCTTGGGGTATTCGAATTCGCAAGTCGTACGGTATTTCCTTTTAAAATGATTTCATATCAATATATGAACATTTACACGAGATATCTAAGTAATTTGCATAGGATATTCAACACCAAGGACCATTTGATCATGCTAGTTTAGATGTTGGTTACCTAGCAACCGCATCCTCCTTAGCAACAACCCTTTGGAGCCTGATTAACTTACTAAAAAAGATTCCACAACAGGAATGACCGAGTGGAGGGTACCATACGACTAGCCAAGGTGTAACCTTTTCCAAACATGGTCATTTCCCCCCCCCCCCCAAAAAAAAAGAATATGAATGACCCCTGGCTCTTGGACTAACTGGATTGGTTCGGTTCAATGCACACGGACTGTTTGCGTTTGACTATAGCTACGAACCAAACCAGTTTAAAACAGTGTCAAAATAATGTTCTGCGGCTTCTTTAAGAGGATAATTTGATTCGACAGAATCGAATGCCTTTCTAAGATCAATAAAAACTGTTTCTTTTTTGTGTTATATTGCATAAAGACAATTATTAATTCATGCAACGTGTTCTTCGTCGAGTGCAGTGGTCTAAAATCAGATTGGCAAGCAGAATCAGATTGTTCTAATCGAGGCACGAATACAGCGCGTTGTTGGCTGCCTTTTCAAGGATTTTGGAGAAAAACCCCCAATTCTTATCGTTTTGAGGTATGCTGGGAACTAATAGAACAGCGCTGTTTCGTAGCAGTAAATACAAAAGAGTTTGCCCATACCAAATAGCGCCCCCTAGTGTGTCAAAAATTATCTCAAAGTAGCCCGTGACCGACAAAATGAAAAGATCTGACACAATGAAAAAATATATATATATTTGCTTATTCACCAATAACATTAAACTGGAATATATGATCAAACAAAAAGCAAGCTAATAAAATGAATGCATGCAGATTCGTCTTCAGGGAGATGTTGGCTGGGCTTGTTCTACTTGAAGAGGTCTTTCCCAGACGCTCCCCCCATCTTCTTGACAATGCTGCCCAAGACGTTCAGCTGCTGGTTCATATCCGAGGACTTGCAGAGAAATGCGCACCTGTCGGGATTCTGCAAATGAATGATTATTTAATTAAGGAAATGAGAAAAAAGTGGGGTAATTGCCACAATGGTATTTTTTTATTTGCCTTTTTAATTGAGGGGGGCGGTGTTTTGTTCATTTTATGAGGCTTGATATGTAATGTACTTTCTGTAAATATACCATCAACATAATATACAGCTGATAATGCTTATCATGGTATTTTTGCAGTTATGGGGACATTTGAATATTGCATGGAGTTTTAAATCGTCACTTCATACTTGCAGAGTATTTTTGAAATGTTAATCGTGTAGATCAGGAGGACAATGTTTGCGGTTTTGCTTTTCTCAAGCTATGTTTGACGAAAACAATAATTCTATTCTCATTTATTCTATTTGTGTGTGTACAATAGGTTATATATTTTAGTCTTTGTAGAGTCAGGTATTATGAGGTATATACGACCACAAAAACTCATGAATGGCGAAGAGTGTGTGCCCGGCAGTAGGGCATATGTGCATATGCCCTTATGCAATAGCGCGTAATGACCAAAATGTTCCCGAAATGTTCCCATTTCGTCAGAAATAAATACAAGTTGTTCCTAAACTTACGATTCATACGTGTGACAAATTTCAAATTCTTACAATTTATATTACATGTTGGAGAACATTGGATACATAATGCGCGCAGTGTAACAATGGAACCTTTCAATGCGATTTTCTTGAAAATGATTTTTGCGTCAGAACGTTCATACACCCTTCTGCCGGGCGCCCGACGAGTTATAACTTTGAGCACTTTCATTAATCCAATCTAGGTAAAATACGCTATGCTTTTAAGAACACTAACCAAATAGGTGTTGGCGAATGCTACGACCAGCTTTGGGATGTCTTGGATATAGTTTTCGCAGAAAGACTTGAAACCCTCAGGGATCAAGTAAGTGCACGCAACCTGCCTCTGGTAATTCTGCAACAAGGCCTGTAAGCAATAATTTGATTCGAAAATTCATTGAACACTCAGTCATTGCAATCATGGCTTAATGACTCATCGGTAAAACATATTCAAACACAAAACAAAACCACGAGGAAAGCGACACATTATTTACTTTTAAAACTTTGGGCACATTTTTGTCAAATTTGCAACTAAATCTCACTTTACCGGCTTTAATAATTTTACCAACTTTTTTTGAGATAATCTTACTCACCAAGAATTCCTTGTCAGTGCTCACGTTATACGAGAAGGTCAACACTTCTTCACAGAGCACACATAAGAAGTGGTTATCTTGTTGTTCAGTTGGCAATATTTGGGTCTGTTGTTGTATGCCGATGGCTAAGTAGATATAAAAAAACGAAATAAATTGAATCCGTCTATTAAAGAACAATTATAAATACCTGATAAATAAATAGGCAGTTTTCCCAATTCGTATTCGTCGACAGCCCGTCATGTAGTCGGTTTTAAATGGTTGATAAAGACCGGCAGGGCTGGCTGGTCTTAAACCCTTTTCTAGTGTCACATGAAATTTGGATTTCTATCAAATCCTGTGCCATTACCGTTTCATTGGTTGAACGTTCAATCCTCACGTAGGCATGCGCAATATACTACCAGTGAGTCAGTATTTCATAGTCCTCAAGTCAAACTACACCCTACCTCGTCCCCAGAGCTCACTTTATTTCCAACCTCGTTTCCAATACTAATCCCTGGATAGGAAACTTTCTTCCTGCCTCCTGATTCGATACCGCAATTTGCTAATAATAGATTAATATCGTGTAGTTGGTGTTGTTATTTCCAACGTGCATAACATGTTTTCACGATCATTGTAGTTAAAGCGTTCAAGCCTTCTCAATAATAATCCTTTTCTTTCCAGATCGCTGATATAAATATGAAATGTAATACTGCATATTGGCGGGCCAGATTGAAACATTTTAACTTGAACAAATCGTGTTTTCATAACTCACGGCGTGACGAATCGATGCTGTTTTTAACCCAGACACCGCATACAAAAAACCCGCAAACTTAACGCACATACGGGCACCAGACTATTCCTCATTTGCATACGTGCTCAAAAATCTTTCACATGCAAATGATCCAATACCAGGGTGAGAGAGCAGGTAGTGGTGGGCGCGTACTTCTCGACGCCCTAGGGACGAGGTTGAACTACACCGTACATATGCGTTCTATGCCACATCATGAAGTACGCACGACGCGCGCGCTAATCTCCATTAAGAATTTGTTCACCTGCAGAAGGCCTTACCAGTCGATAGCTACCTAGAGAGGTTTTTTGTTGAACGAAATCGTTAAAAATTGATAATTTTTGCCTTTTTTTAACTTTTGGTCCGGAAAGTTTCGATTTCTTTTTTTTTTTTTTTACCGAAAAGGTATTTATGAATGGAAATTATGTGCTGGCCAGTATTAAACATTACGTTTAAGACCGGTTGGAGTCTGAATGCTGATAATTACACTTGCCTTCGGCTCGGGTAATTATCAGCATCCAGACTCCAACCAGTCATGTTTCGGATCGTTTACATATCCTATTTCAAACATCTGGTTAAAATGAAACCAACCTAATGTTTTACCTGGCCGCGAATGTTCTTTTCCCAAACTACATCCATAAACATGATTGTTTAGCGCCCTCTACGATACTTTTATGAAACGTACGAAGGTATATGATTATTTTGTCCCCACAATTTAGCGAGCAGTTCGATAGCTCAATCGATAGAGTTCTAGATTTTGCACCGCGATGTTGCGGGTTCGAATCCGTTTTGTACCCAAAATATTTGTCTTTTTTAATCTGAGGCTTCAGAGGATTTTTTTTAAGGGAAATAAATTCCGAATTTCATTACGTTTGAAGCAGTTCTTTTTTTTATAATTTTATATTTTCTTCTCATGTTTTTACAGCCAAGTAAAGTCCAATACGCCATAGCGTACTCCCATATATTATTATGCGGATGTCGTTTGGAAGGGGGGGGGGATCGCTTCCCGGCCCCCCTAAATATTAGTCTATGTAATAGACCACGGCGATTATTATGCGCAAACAAATTTGCTGGTTGATTAGGCAAGACCCCGCCTCCTGACTTCTTAGATTTTGACCAATCACCGGGCGCTTTCGATAGGACAATAGGGCCTTCGGTCATTCACCCGTTGCGCGTCATAGATATGGATTTAAAAAAAAAAACTGTCATGGCGCGCGGCGCTCGGTATCATGTTACGCGAATGCGGTCCCGGCTGTTGTTGTACTACGAAACGGGCGCAAAATCTACCTAAAATAAAAACATATTTTCAGAGGATTTGAGCGTCAATAATCGAGGAAATAGCTTTTCTGGTTTAATTAAACTGCGTAAGGAGAACGAAAATCGATTTTGTTGAAGAGCATGTGAGTAGAGCAACTTAGCTTCATCTTATTTCAAGCAAAAGAAGATTCGCTTTCTCTGCAGGATCATGTCCCTATTTTTCTGACCTTGCCCGCTCACCGCCACGATGAACACGATCACCAAAAACCCAACGCTGTTGTCCATTTTAGAAGAGTTTTTCGGGTATGCTGTAAATCGTCAAATGACAACACAAGTTTTGCTCTCTCGTGAGGAGACTGCACAAGGTTTCGACTTCGAATGACTAACCTCAAGCTTGCGATAAACATTTCAGCCCGTCGGCGGCAGCTTTTATACACCCTGCAAGGGCGGATCCATGGCGGTGGTGGGGTGGCTACCTCGGGGGTCCGTAAACGTCATCACAAAATATTGCAAATCTTACCCAATGCTTCATTCAGGCCTTTGGTCGTTTTACGCAGCAACTCGAACGCCTCGTCCACCCCACCCCCCGAAACGATTTCAACACCCCAAGCCACCCCCTTTTGAAAAGTGGATTCGTCACTACCCAGATTTTGCATGTCCCCGGGAAGACAGGTATTGTCCCAAGTTATACATACGTGTTCTATCCAATCAAACGCCGTGCAAAACAATAGCCCTTCCTACCGGGGCCTCAACCAATCGTTCGTCAGATGTCAGTGGTTCTTATATGCTTTTTTTTAGGATGAGTAAAAAAAATGCAATAATGCGAAGGAGCCATTTTTTTTTTAAACCAAGTTGAAATTTTGAACTTTTTAACCTTGCAAGAATGACACATTCCTTAGTAACCTTGTGTAAAAATAATCGCATTGACTGTTTGTTTTTGTGAACATTTTACTGCGGTACCGATTTACGTTTTGTCCACGTGGCGTGAGAATTGTGCATAAGAGCGAAGGAAACGGCACAATAAAGACAATATAGACAACACAGATTTATAACTGACTGAACCTTAGCTCGAGCTTTTTTTTTTACTGCTTCACTTCATTATTATATTACAACATTACTTTGTGAGAGCTATATATAGTTACTGTATCCTTCATTGTTCGCACAATTGCAGCTCTGGGGCCAAATTCACGAAGGCTTCGCAACGTTAGCGAAGTCGCACAACACCTCGCCTTCGCTAATTTTGTATTCACAAAAGCTACGCTTCACAAACACTTCGCAAATGTTAGCGAAACCGACATATTTTCGCAAACATCGCGCAAAGGTTTGCACATTATTCACAAAAGCCTCGCAAACTTTGCGATTTTGCAATCTCTTCGCAAAAGGTTGGCTAACGCGTGATTTTTTTTGCGACGAGTCCGAAGTCGTCGCTAACTCCTCGTACCTAACGACATGACGCCTTTGCTCGAGCTGGATGAAGAACTCCATCACGAATTACGCCAAAATATGGTCTGTTTGACCTTACCAACGCGTTCAGGAAGATACAGTGATGATCATAGCGAAAATTAAGGTACACAAAATTGATTGACCTCTCCAAGGATATCAGACGTCAGATATGATCATTTTAAAAAGCCCGAAATAAAACGGAAAAAAATGGGCTGGACACACATTATACTAGGGCGCTCTTCAGGATAAGATGAATATCAATATGCATACTCGCGCTTACATCAAAACGGCGCATTTTTAGAGCTTTTGTACTTTGTTTCTCCACTTTTCAGTGCTAATGAATACATTTTAGTTTTTGGGATGTTAAAAAAATAAAACTTGTACACATTTTTTTCTTATCTAAAAAAAAAATAGAGTTGGGGGATGATTCAATAGCCCAGCCCCCAACCCCCGGTCAAAAAGTGTGGGGGGGGGGGGGGGATATACCCCCATTCCCGGGATTTACGCCCCTGTTTGCATGGCCCCTTAAATTAAGTGTTCAGACAGACATACGCATGAATGAACCTAAGGGAGTGAAATTGGGATCGTCTGATGGAAGTGGCCCAAGAAAACATTGGAGAAATTACCCAAAGAGAACTGTTCCCGATGGTACTACCATTGCCGAAAATACATGCCCCGATGTCTTGCACGTCAAGAAATCGTCAACGTAAAGATGCCCCATGCCCAAATGTTTAAACAAGTAGAAAAGATCAACAGTGAAAAAGAAATTTCCTTAGCCCTTTTCATTTCATTGTTTTGTTACATCTTGTATCCCTCATATCAGTTCATTTGTTACATTATAAATTTTACAGTCATTAAGATTTTGGAGGGGAAAATAACCTCAGAGGAAAATAGAAAAATATATCTATTAAAAATGTCTTTACAAGTTGAACAAAGAAATTGACTGGAGCGGGACTTAAACCTGCGACCTCCGGATAACCGTTCCGGTGCTCTAACCGGAACGGTTATCCGGAGGTCGCAGGTTCAATGAAAATGATCAGAAAAAAAACCAGGGAAAATGGCCGCGAAAACCTACTTACAGGCGTCTCTGACATTAACTCGATCAAATGACAATGGCTTTTGCAGTGGAATCCTTCAAATTTAGGATGTTATACAATCACAACTTGTTTTCGTGTCAACATCTATATGTATATATATAACACTTAATCTCTGGGGGAAATGTGATGAAATAAGTTCGATTAGTATCGCAGGTGAGATAATTAAACCAATAATAACAGAAAGGTGTTGTTTTTCTTCAACTGAAATTGTCGATGATTGGAAATGCAATGTATAGTCATTCCATACCTTCATGTTTAGACAGGTCGAAAGAGTCACTGAACTTTACATAAACCAACATGACAATTCCATCTGGTATAGAGTTGGTATGTATCTCTTATGGTTTCTTTAGACTTAGCGAGCTGAACTAGACCAGCCAAGAAACTTTCAATTCAAATCCTTTCGTTTAAAACTTTTTAACCAAAAAACCGTACATTCTTGTCTATCATGTTCTTCCTTTGGTAATTGAGTCCCTCAGATCGGCATTCGGGGTCTGAGATTCATTAGTGTTTTTTTTTTTAACGATGTACATTAGTCAAAGTTGGGAGAAGGGTGTCAGTACCTTTACACCTGTTGTAACAGTATGGCCCTACGTGATCGGTTAGTGCAACAGCTATAGGGGATTTGTGTAAAAGAGGATGTGCTCTGTAAAATTATACAATTACTCGTCTAAGATCATCCTCTACTGTGATTGTGTACCACAGTCATTCGCTGCATTACCTCAACATGAAGAAGTTCATTCCCCCATGGTCTGTTTTAGGCAACTTGTAGTCTGGTACAAAAACCAACCTCCAATTTTCATAAGAACAGAGCAATGTCTATACTCAGGTGGCTGAGATCCAATTTTTGATACGATCGTGACCGATTGGTCCAAAGCACAAAACTTGGCAGACATATTCTTATAGGCCTAAAGAATATTTTAAAAAGGAGTGACACCTACAATTCTTGAAGGAAGGGTGCCTAATTGCATAAATGTAAATACGTTCCGTTAAATAATTTTTTTTCCATATTTGGGTATATTTTGAATTCTTGTTTTTCTTTTAAAGTATATTTTGGGGATCCTACTTACATATCCTTACTTAAATAGCATTTTCTGATATTATTATGAGGACAAAGTAAAGATAAAAATGGCTATTTCTAAAGTTGCACGCATTTACCTTATCTTCAGATAGCATCAGGTAGTCTTGCCAAACCTCAGTACTGATGCGCTTATAATTCACCTTTGGAGTTGCTTACTGGTACAGTTACCCTAATAAAAGTTTAGAGAAATAATGTGAACGTTACGTAGCCGAAAACAATTGGGGTTTATATATTTTATTCTGTATGGTGAATGACTTACTAGGTTTTGGTAAAAGCCATTGCAATTTTTCGTGGACGAACTTGAATGTTAGAGTTGGTGAATTTGAATGAAAAATGTTTCAAAATAGCCGGGAAAACCTAAATTAAAGTTTGTCAAATCTGCGATGCGATTGTGTACTTTAGGACACCTTTTTTTTTTTTTTTAGTTTTTATCATTCCAAATTTACTTCTGCTATCTCAAGTAATCTTCATAAAATTCCTTTCATAGTATATCAACAATAATTCTCACTAAGACTGGGTGGGACTAGATAGACTCCTGCTGTGGTAATTGTTCTTGTTCGTTATTTGTTATTTGGTGTTTTGCTTAGTTAGAACTCTACCTGTAATGTTTGTCTTTATCATAATTCTGAACCAATGGCTTTACCAACAAAAGGGGAACCCTTGTGTAATCATTCTTTTTGTTCATCGTGCCTGCAGTGGTTTGCTTTTGTGTATATCAATAGGGGTACGGATAGTCATGACAGGAGAACCCCTGGCCTTTGTTAATGGTGATGACAGGAGAACCCCTGGCCTTTTTTGTCATGGCGATTTATACAATGATCTCATCCTATATTTTTAACCCATGCAAGTGGCTTATTTTTACGTTTGTACATCAATGGGTAAACCACCCATAGGAGAACCCCTGGCCATTTTTTTTTTCACGGTGATGTATTCAGCAATCGTTTCAATGTTTGTTCCCAGTACTGCACATAATTGGGTTTTTTTACATTCTTTATCACAATGGGTTAACCACCCATAAGGAAAACCCTGGCCATTTTTTCATCCTTGGTGATGTACATGTACACAAAATGTACAGTTATTTTACTTCTTTTTTTTTAACCATGGTTAAAAAAAAAGGAAGTAAGATACTGTACATTTATTTTTTATTTCATTTTTTTTAAAACTATTCCATCCATTATTTTGTCCTAGTGATGTATCCAGTAATCTTATTTCTACTAGCTACCTGTAGTGGGTTTGCTTTGTAACATCATCCTGTATCACAATGGGTTGGTGGGACCCCTGGCCAAGTTTATCATGGTGATGTACGTGAATAGTAACCTTATTTCTATTTTTTTTTTTTTTTTTGTACTGCACTTAATTTACTTTTACTGCACTTATTTTACTTTTACTGCACTGCACTTTATTGCACTTAATAATACAAAACATAAAGGAATAAATACATGAATCTCCCAATTCATGACATAATTCTACATGATTACGCCGTAGATATATGCATCAGTCAAGTCTTTACTTTTTTGATTTTTGTATGTTTTACTTTACAAGTTCTCATTCATTCATGGAGGTGGGGAAATGTCCATGTGTCATGGTACTCAACGCCACGGGTCATTCATCAGTTCGTAGAACAAAATGATCAGTGGT